AGCAACAATATCATTCTAGAGACTAAGGTGTTCATGATCCAGGCCCTGCTCTTCACAACTACTTGCTATGCATCAGAGACCTGGAAAATGACTAAGGGTAACAGAAGAAGAATTGATGCCTTTGAGTTATGGTGCTGGAGAAGAGTATTGAACATACTGTGGGACACCAAGAGAACAAACAGGATTATTTTGAAAATGGTTAAACCAAGTTACTTCTTGGAGGCTAGGATTTTGAAACTCTGTCCCACAAACTTTGGACATGTGGCCAAGAGGCACCACTACTTGGAGGAGGAGGAAGACCCCCTGATGAGATGTATTGATACAGTAACTGGGGTAATGGAGGTAGGTGTGTTGGAGTCAGTGCGACTGGCTCAGGATAGAACAGGGTACAGAGCTATTGTATGTAATGCCGCTATGAGTGGCAGGTGACTCAATGGCATATAACAACAACTTCCAGTCATGATGCTGTATTCTTCATGAAGTCCAGCTTCTCAAATGATTCGCTTAGCATACAAACTGAATATATACAGAAAAAGGATATAGACCTAACACACACCTTTCTTGATTTCAGATATTCAGTGCTCACCTGCTCTGTTCAGACGACACCTTCTTGATTTAGGTTTTGCATGAGCACAATTAAACACAAATAGATATTATTCTAGTTTTCTCTATTTTCAGTCAAAATCCATCTGATATTTCTGGTGCTATGGTCTCTTATAAACCCAATTTTAAATTCCGGCACTTTCAGTGTATTGTTCTAATCATTCAGGATGATCTTCAGCAATATTTTGCTTGCATATGGTATTAAATTGTTAGATCTCCTTTCTTGGGAATGGGAACAAATATGACTCTCTTCCAGTCAATCAGCAAGGAAATTTGTCCTCCAAATTTCCTGGCACAAACTGATGAGCCCATCCAAGGTTCCATTTGTTACTTGTAATATGTCAGTTGATATCCTATTGTTTCCTGCCCCTGTATTTTTTTGCCGTAGTCTTCAGTGCAGCTTGAATATCTTCTCTCATTACTGTTGGTTCCTTATCATATGCTACTTCTTAAAATATTTCAGTATTGATTAATTCTTTTTGGTACAGTGACTCTGGTTACTCCCTCCATCTTATTTTTTTTTTTTTTTTGCTGCTTGGACCATTCAAGATTTTTCCCGTTAATGTCTCTCAGTATTGCAGTTTGAGGCTTGAATTTGTTTTTAAATTCTCTCAGCTTAAGAACTGTTGCGTGAATTCTTCCTGTTTTATTCACCAACTCCAGCTCTTTGCACATTTTGTTACAGTACTTTGCTTTGTCTTCTTGAGCAATCTTTTAAAATCTTCTGTTCATCTTTTTTTAGTTTGGCTTCCCTTTCCTTTATTTTGACTCCCTTATACTCTATATGATTTTCAGAGTATGTTCTGACATCCATTTTGGACTTTTCTTCCTCTTCTTTGTTAAGAACTTTTGCTCTCTTTATGAGTGCTATCTTTGATGTCATTCCACCGTTTTTCTAGTCTTTGATCATTAATGTTCAATGCTTCAAACATATCGAGATGATTTCTAAATTCAGGTGGGATGAACTCAAGGTCATATTTTGGTCCTTATGTACTTGTTTTAATTGAGACTTCCTTCATTTCTTTCAGAATCATTTTTCAGTTTTCAGTTTGGAGGTCTTTTACCTCTTTGGTTACATTTATTCCTAGCAATTTTACTATTTACTATGAAATAATATTATTGATTTGCTTTCCAGATTATTCATTGCTAGTGTAGAGAAATCTGACTATTGTATGTTGACCTTACACCCTTGCTACAGTGTGGAATTCATTTGTTCTAGTGCTTTCTTGTGAATCCTTATGAACTTTCAATATTGTATGATATTTTATGTAGAAATAGTTTTACTTATTTCTTTCAGATTTGGTTGTCTTTTGTTTCTATTTCTTTTATACTTCCTCTGGCTAGAACTTCCTTTCAGTGTTGAGTAATAATGATGAAAACCAATATCCTTGTCTTGTTCCTGATATTAAGAGGAAAACTTTCAGATTTTCACTCTTGAATATATAAGCTGTTAGATGCTTATAAATGCCCTTTGCCGTGTTGATAAATTTATCTTCAATTCCTACTTTGTTGAATTTTTGTTCTTTTTATCATGAAGAGGTGTTACTGTTGTCGTAAGTGCCATGGAATCAGCTCTGAGTGACTTATTGCAACCTTGTAGCAAAAAGGTGAATTCAGCCTGATCCTGCACCAGCCTCATGATCTAAATCGACTGTTACAGTCACGTCACCGACTGTCTAATTTTCCAAGAGGCCCTTTCCTGATAACGTGCTCAAAGTATGTGAGATTAAGGCTTCACCAGCCTCACCTTGAAGCATTCTGGTTGTATTTCTTCCAACACAATTTGGTTCCTCTTTGAGCAGAGAAAAGCTGTTGGATTTTGTCAGATGCATTTTCTGCATTAATTGGGATCATTAAGTGGTTCTTCATTTTATTAATGTTTATGAATACTGGGTGGTTCTCTTAAGTGAAATTACCTTATGTCCTTCACTTAAATCTCACTTATCTCACTAGGTCATGATAGGGAATATAATCCTTGGATGGTTGTTACTTTTTTGAGGAATTTTACATCTTTTTCATAGGGGATATTGGTCTGTAGTTTTTTTTTTTT